ACCCTCAGGCTATCACCCTCACCAAAAAAAGAATGACGTAAAATTTGCACACAAACTATTTTCTTAGTCATGGCTGCCGGCCCAAGTACTGTACGCCGATCTGTCAGAAAACAGAACATTATTAGACAAAGTTAAAACAACTTCATCAGGTAATTCCTATCACTCTCTTCGGATGTTAGGAAAAAATGTCTTTATATGCTGGGATAGAGGTGTGTTTTTTTATTTTGTTTTATTTATGTAATCTACGAGAAAAGAAAGCCTCTTGTAGATTAGATCAATTAAAATAAATTTAATTTACGAGACACCAATGCATCTTGTAGATTGGATCTATTAAAATAAATTTAATTTACGAGATACCAAAGCATTAGGTAAATTGAACTCAATTTCGATTGGTCTGACTTGGTTTGACCATGCATGGTGCATAGCTTGAAGAAATTTTAAGCGAAAACGTGTTCTAAAGTCCAGTGATTCCCAGCCTAGGAGCACTTTATTAGCAATGACGCTTTCCATATAATTGTAATTTGCCGAATAGATATGGCAACCTCATTTTGCATTTTCTCATGTTAATTTTTCTACTAGAAATAGCTTTCTTGGGGTTTCCACAAAACACTGACGTATCCTATGATTGGCTTGACGTTAAAATAAAACAGATATTTTTACATTCGGAAGACTTCGTCTTAAATAAATTAACATACGATTGGGCTGTATTGTGCGGAATCTAAGTGTACAATTCATGATATATCTCGTGTATATTGAGCACCCAGATACTCTACAATGCTTTTCTTCTTTACCAGAACACCGAGTGGTGTATGTGAAAGGAGATCGTTGACGTTGTGAAGTAAACATTGAGCGGTCGCATTCGCAATACTTCACCTCATTTTTAGTTTTTATTGGAATTCGACCAACATCTTAAAAAACCAAGCACTCCTGCTTTGACTTGATATAGTGACATGAACCGGAGATTAAGGCAGGGAGAAGTAAATGTTTACCGTGATAGAAAAAAAGGGGACACCGGCAAACTTCAACCGGTTCCCCTGCGCCATAACAGCTTTATGCAACTTAATGATGCCATAAGGTATAAAGCGCATTCAACCACGTGGAGATGAATGCTGGACGTAATTTATGTTGAAATGTAATTTACATATACATATTTAAAATATGAGCGACCCCTAACACCAACATCTGGGGGACACCCGACGTTTCACCTTAGTAAGTTTACGTTTTGTCGTTAACTAAAGCTGCCGATTTTCTATTATCTCGATCATCAGTAAGCCAGTTAAAAAAAGAAAAAAAAAACACTGTCTGAGACTTTTGACCACTCTATCATGGTAAATTTCAATCATAGTCCCTGCCAGCTTAATAAACATGCAACTTATTATCGCTGCAGTCATAGAGACATTAAAGAATGCCGAAGAACAAATCACCAAGCAAAACATGTGACCCTCACACCCCGAGTTTTTTAAGCTGTGACAGCTTAAGGACACTATTTAGCTTTGTGTCGCATCAAAAACCACTTCCGAAGTCATGCTAAAGTTAAAATTATTGATGTCTACACTATAAAAAAATATTTCTGAAAGGTTTTTTGACACCCCAAGAACTCCTTCAGCGCGTGAAAAACGGTTCTGCCTCAACCACTATCGCCATCTGGCGCACTCAAGAGGCAACTGAGCGATGAACATTTTTTCATAAAAAAAGGATCTTAGAAAATGCCTTATCGGTTTTTTATTTTTTATTTTTTTTCGCGAAGAAACCTTTTAGGGGGTGTTGAAAGCAGCTTTTTAGGGTGCAAAATTTGGACAAGCCGAAGAAACCCTAAAGAGTTCTTTTACGACCAGATTCTTTCTTATAGTGTAGACGTTTCACAGTGTTAAACTATATGTTCTAATCTCTTTAGACTGAGTAGCGAAGGAAGCCTATACTTGTCATCCCTATCGTTTCGGCCGGTTTTTGAAAACGGGCTTCACTTGCTCTTTTTTTCTTTTCATTCGCTAGGCGGTTTTCCAGAAATCAGAACTATGAAATAATGCAAAAAAAGGCTAGAACAAATAATCAAGTGTTTTTCTAGTACACGGCTATGTTACTACACAACAGAATTGTTCTGTTTTCATTCGGGTTATTTGATCAGATTAAATATACATTCGGGCTTTAGTTCAGTTTCTAGCATGCTCTCCTTTATACGTGAAGAAATGGGGAAGGGGCGACTACTAGAGGAGACGTAAACACAGATTCATAACCACTATGAAAGAGTCTGGCTTAATTAACATCATTGGCCACCAACCGACCCGAGTAGCTGATTGGCGGAATGCCTTGTCGTTTGAGCCTTTCATGTACTTCCACAATTCCTCTGGGTTGTATTTTAATCTTAAGAAAAGTCGTTTGACATTGTTTCGAAATGTGACACCGTATTTTTTAGACGTTCCGTGAGCTCGTCCCGGTCCAGAGTACATTGCGGTTTGAGATTAATCGTACTTCATTAAACAAATTTGCTCGACATACTGGCGTATTTTAACAAACATAATCTAATCAGTGCAATAATTATTCAAATTTAAATTCTATACATATACTCTAAGAAGTCTGAGATCTACGGAATCAGCTCAGCGAATGTTGAGGTGGAACATCTATTTAGATTTCAAAATTAAGCCTGCGCTGTCGCATTACACAATGCAAGCATGACGCTTTGCATTACGTAATGCCTCTGCGCAGGCTTCAATTTTAGGTCTAAACGGATATTCCGCCTCATCATTCGCTGAGCTGATTTCGTAGACCGCAGAGATTGGCTCTTTGAGTGTTTTGCGGGTAAGTAGACGCGCAGGGATTTCTTAGAGTGTACGTACAGGCGACGGGTGTACGGGCAAAAAGCCACCATCTGTTGGCTTGACCAGGCAAACCTTTTTTTTTTTTTTTTTTTAGATCTATCTAAGGCACTTAGGACAGTCTCTCAGGCTACACTTTTGCATAAGCGTAGCACCGTACTAGGCAATCCATCTCTGGTTAATTGAATATCTGGTTTTCTTTCTCATTGCTCACAGTACATGCGTTATAACTCTCCCAGATATTTTTATTGCGGATTTGTCGTCAGATGTTCCTTTCATTTCACTTTCGTAAGAGCTACTATTTTTATTGCAAGCAGTGAGAGAGTGCAGGCGAGCCGGTAATTAATCGACATCTTGTAAACCCCGAGATGCGGAACACAATTGTGCATAAAAATACGTCGAAGACTATCTATTCTATCACACGATCATCTTATGACGGAATCATAATACTCTTAATCATTTCTGTAACACCTGACAAAGGACACACTTTCGAGTGTTCACACAGCTTGTTCACAAGGCTGCGTCGACTGCGTTGTGCTGTGTTGCGTCGGGCAGCAAAGCGCCTTCCCATTGGCTCGTCGTATGGGTCGCCATAGCAACAGCTCGGCGCAAGCAGTCCTAACACTGCCTAACGCAGTCAAACGAAGCTGTGTGAATGAACATAAACACCTGACAAGTAAACGTATTGACCCCAATACCGTATTTATATAATTTCTAAGGCACTCATTTCCTTTCTTGTTCGCATATCCACTAAACAGTTGCAGCTCAGTCTTCTTTCTGTCCGCGACATGTTTTGGTCTAAGCATAAATTGAGAAGAAACACAGCATTGAAAAAATATTGGATACCTGCAGCGAACATTGTATGTTACTTCACAAGCTGCTATGCTTTTAACACACAAAACTCGAGTCCGTCGGACCCTCAAATGCGGTTCAGTCATTTTGAAATTCAGACAGTGAGACGTAAATAAACTCGATATTTTTTCAGAGAAAGCGTTACGGCTAATTAATCGCCAAGGTTACAGAGATTTTTAACCCGACGTTTAACATTAAGCTAAGGCCATCATTCCTGCACGCCGTGGCATCAAACGCCTAAAATGTGAATTGATTATTTATTTTATCATATTTCTTCTCATTAAAAACGATTTTTATGTTTTTTTGATACATCACCAGCAAGGAGTCAATTTGAGCTAACATTTCAGCGTTTCATTCACGCATAAATGTATTTAACTCCGTTTTATTTTTTTTTAACCATAAAATTTTAAATTTATTGCCCTGAACCAGTGTTGGCGGTAACGCGTTACAAGTAACGGCGTTACCGGTAACGCGTTACTTTTTTTGGTAACGTCGTAACGTACTCGTTACTTTTCCAAAGAAGTAACGGGTAACGTACTTACGTTACTTATTTTGAGTAACGTGTAACGATATTGCGTTACGTTACTTTACTTCCTAAAACTTAAAAAAATTTAATTTAAATTCTTTTTTGTGTGTTTTTAAGTTCCCAGTCATAAATTCCTTAGTCCGAAAATGCCGCTGTCCTCGACTTTTCTTTGACGTCGGTGCTCGTCAGATTTGACGTGACACGCCACCTGCCACTCGTTTTCTCCCGCGGCTCGTTGACCTCGCTACCGCCGTCGCCTCGGCTGGAAGGCCAAAGAGGTCCGGCTTCGGGTGGATATGGGAGATTCCTGCGTCGAAGCCTGCGTTTCGCCTCCCCCTGGGAAAGGGAATGACACCTTCGTGTCATTCTTTTTCCCGTTTTCGGGACTTGAAAAACGGAGGCGGCCTTGAGCGATTGACCGACAGCTGTGTGGCTCTCCGGACTCACGTGATGAGCAGAGCAAGGCCACCGTGGAGGGCACGGGCGAGATTTGACAAAAATAACTTTCCCCCGGCAAAAAAACAAACAAACAAACAACAACAACAACAACAACAACAACAAACAATACGGCCGGAAGCAGAGCGCCGAACGATTCGTCGAAGTCGTGTCGCCTGGCGATTCTTGTAGTGTCCTGTTTGGACATGCAAACATTCCTGCTTTACGGAAACCCCAACACCACGCCCATTGACCTACTTCGACGAACGCTGTCACGGGCAGTGGCAGGCACAATGATAGAAGTCCTCCGAGGTCAACTCCTAATCCTCCGAGGAGAGAGGGTTCAGTTTTTTCTACTATATTAATCTAACCCTTTCGTGGAACCCCAGTGGCTATTCTTTTTGCGAGAGTGAACCCGCAATCCTACTGCGCCAGAGAGACGCTTCCCAACAATTTCTTCTGAACCGTGCTGGACGCGGATCTTCAAGGTCGCGCACCAGTTGTCAGAGCTGAAGACGATAAAACCCCTCACGAAAGCCATTCGCAAGCAGTTGTCGTCACCTGTAGGATGGCTACGGCAAGTGCAGCTTCATCGCCTTGGCCAGGACTCAATAAATACTTCGAACTGACAGAAGCCAAAGATGACAATTTAATCTTTAAGTGCCTTCTGTGTCAGCCACAGCTGAAGCTCTTAAGTTGTGCCAAGTCCTCAAGCTCCAACCTGAAGAAGCATGTAAAGGTAAGCAAAAATTTTTGTTTCTTGCTCTTTATATTTGTAATTTAATTCCGATTTTGCATTGAGTGGGCCCTCAGATGTTATCAATACAGCTTTGGCGGAGTGTTGTGTTATTTCATGTCAGAAAGCATATCGCCATATTTTTAATCAGCAATCTGCTTCTTTGTTTTGCGCAGAAACTACACAAACAAAGCTTGGCTGCGTTCGAGGCCCTTTCAACAAAAAAGAGGGGAATCATTCAAGCGTACGAGAGCCCTGGAGCGAATTCCACACAGCCAACAAAGCAAGCCAAGATCGACGACTTAGTCCGCCATCAGTCCGTGCCTCAGGTGCAGCTTGACAGACTGGTTGAAGATTTTGTTATTAATGCCACGCAGCCTTTCTCGGTGGTGGAGGAGCCTTCATTTGTGAAGTTACTAAAAGCAACAGCCCCAGAGAGGAACGTGCTCACGCGTCCGATGCTCATGACACGCCTTAAGGCGCGCTTCGATGCCCTGAAGGACAGTTTGCGCTCAACGTTTCAGAAGCTCCAGTTTGTGGCAGTCACCGCGGACTGCTGGACTCGCTTTCACAGGTACTGTTCTTAGCTCAATTGACATTTATTTACAACCATACGATTGACGGTTGACCTATCGGCACTTCTACCATTTTACTCAAAGACATATGAGTCTGTTGATAGCTACTACGTTTGCTTCCCAGAGTTTTGATGTTTTTTTTTTTTACCTTTTTGTCTGTTTATGGTGTTTTTCAAATATCTAAATTCACGTGAAATTTGCTTTGCCATAATCTACGAAGCCATATTTTTCTTAATATCGATTTCCCTAGCGCAAGCACTTCATTATAAAGAAATACGGGTATCATTTCTAATGTGGCTAACCTTGATCATTATCATATTTTATAGTTCGCTTGCCAATAACTTTCCAGGTGTTACCTTGGTGTCACGGTCCTTTGGCTGGACCCGACAACTTTAGAAAGAAAGGTCGCTGCCTTGGCTTGCCGCCGTATGCACGGGAGCGTAACTTTTGAGCGGCTTGCCACCACTCTAGAGGAGATATTCAACGAGTTCGACCTTCTGGGCAAGATTACGAAAGTCATCACGGACAGCGGGTCGAATTTCGTGAAAGCTTTTCGGTGAGTCTCTGTTACATTGTTAAAAATGTTATTCCTTGGTACACGCGTCTATATATTGTTGCGCTTGTGCAGGATCTACGGTGAGGAGGAAGCCAACGATGAAGACGAAGAAAATTGTCAGCCAGTGCATTTATGTTCGCTGATCGAGAGCGCCGAAGAAGGAAGGCACCGCCTGCCACCCCACCACCGGTGCTCAGCACACACTTTGAACCTCATCGCTACCGTTGACGCGGCTCGTGCAGAGACTGTTGATCAGGAATATTCCACGATTAAGCAAAGTGTGTTCTCCAAGTGCCAAAAGCTCTGGAATAAGCAGGGACAGTCCGCGCAAGCAGCTGATCTGATCAAATCCCACTGCGGAATCTACGTGCCTCGGCCAAATGTTACAAGGTGGAACTCTACCTTCAAGGCCATGGAGGCTATCAACACGTTTCTAGAAAGGGGAACAGACCTAGACGTCCTCTTCTGCAAGCTAGGAATTCCGAGGCTGCTGCCACCTCACGAGCCCAACTTCATCAAGGAGTATTGCAGGGTACATTAAATTTAGGTAGTTTTCGTGACTTTCTTGCTAAAATATTTGTCGTTTAATTACAGGTCATGAAACCTGTCTGCTGCGCCCTGAATGTCCTGCAAGGTGACAACCACATTCACAGTGGCTATCTGCTTCCGACGCTGGACGTCCTCATCAAGAAGATCGAGTATGAGAAGATGGCTGGATTGCGCTACTGCGGACCTCTAGCTGTTTCTCTGTTGGCCGGAATTCACAAAAGGTAAGTTGTGACACGCGTAAATTGCATGAATTGCTTGAGAGAACTATGAAATGTGATGTCGATCGGGAGAGCCAAAAGGGTAAAACCGTCGGTTGAACGGTTTTATGATCAATGTTTCTCGCGTAGAGAGTACGTTTTGAAACTTGTGGCCTGCGAATTCCGCCGTAGGTGATCGCTCAGACGACTCGTTTTCTTTACTCAGTGGTGTTTATTACCACTGCACGCAAAGAACCCATCCGATATGAGGCTTGTCTTCCTTCGCCACGCTCCCCTTGGAAGCGGGGAGTCCCGCGCGCCTACGAACTTCGCTCCTTTGGATGAAGTACAACAGTTATTTCGCTAATACAATATACATTTCGCTGCTGCAGGTTCGACAATGTGATGAGTCAGAAGGACCTGCTGGTTTCCGCTACACTGCTCCCGAGATTCAAGCTGTCGTGGATTTCGGATGAAGCCAAGCGAAATGCGGCCCTCGCGGCCGTCAAGAGCGAGCTGACAGTCTCTTCGCGGCTTGTCGAGAGCCCGGCTTCCCCACTAAAAGCGAACGCAGCAGAAGAGGATTTCTTTGGAAACCCGTTTGGAAATGCATGCACCTCCGTGTCCGGGGATGATGAGCTTTCACGGTACTTTCTGGTACCACACAACTTTGCACTGACGGAGCTAAAAAACAGCTTCCCTCTGATGCACAAGCTGTTTCTCAAAGTGAACACGGCTGTACCATCGAGCGCATCCGTTGAACGCCTATTTAGCGTAGGCGCGGACGTGTTTACCAAGAAGCGAGGTAGAATGTCTGATGCCAACTTCGAAATTCAGCTGTTGCTGAAGTACAACAGCGGAGTGTGCTTCGGGTAACGGAGGAACTTGTTCACAGCAACTACCGGTACTTCGACATGTTGTGAATAAAATACATTCAACGTTTCAATCTCGGCTGGTCTTAATTTCTTTGCTAATGAGGGAGGTCGGTTCTTCTGTTAAGTTCCGTGCCAACATGTCATAAATCAGCTTCATATATACTTCCGCGTTTTTCTTTTAACTATTCGGGTGAAACCCTAAAAAAGAGAGCGTAATTAAGTTTCCGCATGGACATATTTTAGCTATGGCGCTTACGCACATATCAAACGTCGAAACAGCAAATGTTTTAGTTCGTGAATAAAAAGTAACGCAACAGTAACGTGCGTTACTTTTTATCAGTAACGGTAACGGTAACGCGTTCCTTTTATTTTGAGGTAACGTAGGTCGGTAACGCGTTACTTTTATTTGCAAGTAACGAGTAACGTATTTAGTTACTTTTTTTCGGTAACGCATACAACCCTGCCCTGAACCTCTGTCATTATAATTTCTGTCTGCCATCGATTGCTTTTGATATTGTTTGACATTAGGTTTTTGTTTCCGAACAAGGTTGAACTAGTTAGTTCAGCATTTTTGAGGTGAAAAAAAAAAAACAGCGCAAAAGATGGAAGAGAGGTTGGAGTACACACACACAGCGCTGACTGACAACTGAATATTTTACTTCCGCACAATACAGCAAGTAAACATGATGCTGGGAAAAATAGAAACAAACAACCTGATAACTCCCCCCCAATTCTGAAAACAAGGGTTAAATATGCTTGTTTTCAGGCTTGATATTTGTTTCTTTCGGTTCCTTATATCGTTTAGTTGTATAAGTCTGACTCATACTTAAATATCTGTTTCGTTTGATTGTTTCTGTAACTACCAAAGAAATGTGTTCCATTTGATGTTTGTATTAGTTCTGTTAGCTAAAAGTGCATATGTTACGTTCGATAAATGCCTTGCATTTCACTAGACTCGGCAGGTAGACGTTGTCACATCTAAACTTGTGGCAGTGTCGTGTATACACTGCCTACCTTTTTTTCTTTGATCTTATTTTTATTTTGTCTGCGTGCGTGATACTATTTGTTTCTTGCTCACCCCCTAATCGTGCAGTTCCACTAATATATCTGCAATATATGTAAACCAAATTAATAATTTTTTTAGCTAAATATTTTCTCACTCAGAGCAGTTCACTCTTTGCGACACATAGAGGAGAAAAAAAATACACAAATGAACAAGTGTATAAAAAGGGTTTGGAGTCATAGTTGAGGTTCAATTATTTCCTGGGAATAGCAGTTTTATCTTCACCTATGCTTGACATCCATTCCTTTGTTGACGTTTTGCAAATATACCTAGATACCAGGCCCTCAACATGGCGATCACTTTGATCTGAACGTTCAAACCACAGCAATAGTCAGTGACAGCTAGGATTACTAGAACAACTCAGCTTGGAAACCACCATAGGAGCCTGCTTTGAAAAAGTGGCTCCGATCCGTACTCGAGAAGCGAACTAGACGCTATCGCAAGGCCGCCATTTTTCCCGCAGCGGCCACTGCGGGAATTGCACGGGTGCACGTACCGGTTTAGCCGGGTAGGGCCGGTGTGGCTATCTTGCACCGCCATCTTGTTGTAGCTATATAAATCAACTTTCATGTTTTGGCTTGCCGCTAAAGAACGTAGCTATAATCGCATCTCGTTCGGTCTTGGTGGACGCGAGAAGTCCAGATTTTAAGGGTGAGTTTCTCAACTGAGTGTCCTAGTAACGTTGGTGGCAACCTAAAAAACGCCGGCGATCATCTTGTTATCGGTCAACAGGCAAAAGTGCTGCGTTACTCGGTAATAATGACGGAGAGAAAATAACCACGTAATAAGCAACGCCCTTTGTTTTTTTAGATGCGAGTGACATTAGGGGTTATCACTAAAGCACACACACTCTAAGCCCGTGCTTGAGATTTACAACGGAACACTCGGATAGTCAAACACTTTGATCTATACAGAAATATATCCCGGTGGATGACAAGGATGAAAGATGTCTAAACCTTGCAGTAGAGCAGGGATTGCGAAACTCGGAACATGGCGAGAGAATGACTCATTTTGAACTGTACCGCATCCTACAAGAGAAATGATTCTTGTTCAGCTTTTTCACACACTATGCAACCCCCGCAGTTTGCTGTATTTAAATCACCAAACGCCTTGCAAAAAAAAATAATAAAAATAAAAATAAACAAACATAGTATAGTAGAAGCTGGTAAGAACTTTAAAGGCAACCCGCCAGATCTCAAGAAACATCGGCAGCCACTTCGAAAATTCCAGATTGTGCTTTTTTGAGCTCACCGCGTTTAATTTGACAAGGATGGAACAGAAACGCTCTGACATACAGTTCAAAATTGGTTGCTAAACACAAGGATTGCTCAAGGAAACTACGTTTTTTATATGTATTACGTGGAAACTGTCGTCAACTGGCTGAATGGTTCGAAGAAGTGTTCTATGACGGTAGATACTAGTCAGTTCATGCACTATTTATTTTTTTCTTGGCATTCACGAAGACATTCATTATGTATATATGTTTTTTCTAGTGCGCACTACAGTTTTAAGTGCTACCAAAATTGTAATCAGTTCTATTTCTTTTGTTTTTTCAGATTCTTCAGTCTGCTTTTTCTTCTCTTGTGTTCAACGCTACAACCGGCGCTCGGCGGTGAATCAGACTTAGTCCCCGAACTCTGCGATCTCAGGGACCAGCCGATGTATTGCAAGTGCGAGAATAAACACATCGGAAAGGACGACGTCGAAATCACCTGCTTTGTTGTGAGAAACCTCACAGAACACCACGTTGTGCTTAAAGCCTTCCAGAACCAGCCATCGATCGTTTCGATTACCTTCAGCGCATTCCGCAGTGATTACCATCTCCACTTCGTTCCGACAGAAGCACTACGTTCCGCGGCGCCTGTCCTGGAGAGCCTCAAGTTCGCTCAAGCCAACCTTGGCTCGCTTAAGACTCACTCCTTCTACAACCTGCCTAAACTAAAGACGCTGTCTCTCGATTCAAACGACATCATGGACTTAGAAAAGGAGTCCATTGCCGACTTGCCTCACCTCACAAAACTGGAGATGGGCGACAACAAGCTCGTCAAGCTCCCTGCTCACGCTCTCTCGCGTCTGTCGGCACTGGCGCACCTATTCCTAGAGCAGAACCAGATAGAGAGCATCGAAGACACGGCCTTCGCTGACTTGGGTGCGCTGAAAGAACTGGACTTGAGCGACAACATGATCGTAGATCTGACGGAGGGCACATTCAAGGGCCTCGACCGTCTGGAGCGGCTGGACATGTTCCGGAACAAGCTGCAGAGGTTGGACGCCCGGGTCTTTAGCGGGACGCCGGCGCTCGTGGAACTGGACCTCAAATACAACGAGGTTTCGGAGGTGGACCCGCTGGCCTTCGAGGGGTTGCCGCGCCTCAAGAAGTTCTACTTCTCTCACAACCGGCTGCGGATCTTACCGGCGAACATGTTCTTAGGAGCGCCGAACCTGCTTACCGTGGACCTGTCGCAGAACCAGCTGCTCACGCTTACCTGGAGGACTGTCCAGGACTTGAGGAAGATTGACGCCGAGTCCTTCGACATGAGCCTCACTGGTCAGTGCTTTTTGAATGGTCTTTTGAGAGAACGGCGATTCGGGCTTTGGTTCAGCAGGGAATTTTCATAGACATCACAATGTAGATTTCGGGCTCCGCAAGCGCATGCTCAATCAGTAATGAAAGTGACGGCAAGTGCTTACACTAGCAAGGCAATGTTTCTGCGCATGGTCTACGAAAATTTGATATTTTCTTTATGATGTTATTGAATATGTAAATCGAGGAGTGGCTCTCGAAGCCTGGATATGCTTCGGATATAAAAATAAAACAAAAATATTGTCACTTTTCAAATTTATTAATGTTTCGGCTGTGAATGTGCGATAACTATACTGCACAAGTTTGCATGAAGAGGACTGGTTTCCTAGCTCTCACAGGCGTCCTGATGATTAGCTAGAGCAGTTCAGATAGTTTCAAAATAGTCTTCAGGGTTTATAAGTAGCGTCTAGACAGGTTTCAAGGTTTATAGATTATTCGCATATAGCTTCCAGGTATCTAAAGTATTAAAACATTCGTAAAGTTTTGACGGAATTCAATCCCAACGAAAACAAGAGTGACCTTTAATACACTCTAAGAAATGCCTGCGCGTCTACTTACCCGCAAAACTATCAAAGAGCCAGCGATCTACGAAATCATCTCAGCGAATGATGAGGCGGAACATGCCTTTATCCTAAAAATGAAGTCTGCGTTGTGGCATTACGCAATGCAAGCATGACGCTTTGCATTGCGTAATACCGCAGCGCAGATTTCATTTTTAGGTCTAAAGGCATGGTCCGCCTCATCGTTCGCTGAGATGATTTCGTAGAACGCAACTATTAGCTCTTTGAGTGTTTTGCGGGTAAGTAGACGCGCAGACATTTCTTAGAGTGTAAAATTACATTATCTCAGACTGATTTAATATCTTGCGGTAATATCGAAAATGAGCACTCAGTAATTTAAACATTTTAAAATGAAGTTTGTAAGATAATTATTATTTATCGGGGTTCTTACTTGTTACCACAAGAAAAGGTCTGTTTTTGCATGCATCTTGTTTACAAATTCAAACTCGGTTGCTTTTGAACCAGCTTTAAATGTGAATAGGATTCTAAGAGAAGGTGCTCCATTTGAGCAGACAGTAAGTAGGACAATGGTTCTAGGTATTTTGAATTGGAGATGGAAAGATGGAACACAACGACCAACCTGGAAAAACTTTTGTTCTTTGCATCAATGGTCTCTCAAATCGATGAGGTACGCGGGCAAACTGTACCAGGGCTAGCCTGAAAGATTAGGATACAACAAATGCCGAACACGTGAAGGTTATTGTTAGGTTATTCCTATATAATGGCCCTCACACGATGGAACTCAAAGGAAAAAAAAATAATATAAATGGAATTGTAGGTTGCCACTTCGAACCTCACCGACGAGTCGTGTCTTGACAAAGTGGTGAACTGTAATGAAAAATTTAATCTTTATGGCACTATAAAGCATTCTACATGGTGATAATCATTTGGCAAGCCTCTACAAGTTACCCAAAGACTTATAGTGATTTCCTGTGGTTCCCAATCATAATAATTCTATAATAATTCTTCCTTCAGCATGTTGGAACTAGGAGTGAAATATCGTTCTGAAAACAACTAAAAATTGTTTCAAATTGAATAAAAATGCCGCTTGCATATTTATTAAATTTGAGTTGCGTTT